GGCAGAATTTCTGCATTTTTTGGGCACATTTTCCTGGTGGCATAATCTTTTATCCCATCTGTTTGTAGTTTTTATTTATGTTCCTGTCTTTTGTAAATGAAGGTGTTCTCCCAAAAGTATAAATATAATGTTTTTTTCAATCTGCTATTTATTTTCCTACTTATTGATAGCTTGAAGTAGGGACCTACTTTTTTTTTCCAAATAATTAACAAGTTATCCCAGAACCATTTATTAGAACTGTCTTCTCACCAAGTGTTTCAAATATCACATATATTTTAATAAATTCTGGGATATGTATGTCTGTTTCTGAGCTTTTCCTCTTCCATTTTCTTATCTAAAGGCCCCTTGAGAATAAGGACCATGTCTTCTTGGTTCATTGTAGTTCCAGGGACTGACTCACTGCCTGAAATACAGTGGACGCTAGTAATGTTTGTTGACAGATCATCTATTTCTTCCTCTACCGTGGCTACATTTTATAATTACTGTAGCTTTATAGTAAGTATATTATTTTTATGTATTTTAGTCTTTTATTTTTATATTTTCCTTGGCCACTATAAAAAAGTATTTAAGATGACCATCAGAAGCATTTTAAGTACCAAAAAAACACACTAAGATTTTTATTAAAACATCATTAAATATTGTATGACTTACTGGGAAGAAATGTTACTTTTACATTGTTTTATTATCCAAAACATATTCTCCATTGTATTAAATTTATTTACTTACTTGTTTGTTTAATTTATTTTGGTCTTACTCTCTTCCTTTAATAGGTGTAATCATTTTCCAAGTAATTCTCTTGGGACTTCTAGGTTTTAAAATAACATTGTCTATAAATAATAATTTTGTCTCCTTTCCAGTATTTATTGCATTGGCCAGAGTTGCCACTATTAAGTAACAGTGGAAAGAATAAACCTGACCTTGATTTTTAGTTGATTGGAAAGTACGGCCTTAAACTGGAAGGTCTGGGGACAGGATTGCAGTAGAGAACTCTGATAACCATGATTCAGGGTTAAAAGGAGTACCTTGGAGGATTTGTATTTAATACCTTGACTATCACCTGTCTTTATCATTTAAGCCTTCATTTTTAAGTCAGATCTGTACACTGGTTATTAAACTACACTACATTAAACTCCAGAACCAGAGGTGAGGTCGTAAGTGGTGGACAGTACCTTTTTCCAAGCATCAGATCACAGGCGGTTCTCTGCATAACCAAACTCTGTGGTTGTGGAGTTTAGAATTTTTATTTTGGCATATATTTCTGCCTTAAAGAATTAGTGTCTTCCTGGGTACGTTGTCTTTGAATTCAAAGTGTGAGGTATCTCTGGATTTGAGAAATTATTGACCCTTTTGGTAAGAGAAAGAAGGGAACAAGTGGCACATAGATTGGGATTAAGGACAGAACAGAGCACGACAGCACTGTTTCATGTACTAGATAATTCCAATGTTTGGCATCAGTAGAGTTTGTTTTACTGTCTCAGCCTGATTATAGCAAGCAGCTTACAAAGATCCTGTTATACAACTAAGCGAAAACTGTTTCTTTTGACACCGAATTTAGAATGATTAATAGTCACCACTATATCACCATAGCTATCACTAAATATTTCTGTCCCTAACTGTTGTGCAAATTTGCCTTATTTATATATCATTTTTTTTAATTCAGTGGCAACAGTTCATTTGGTTGATAAGAGTTGTGAATAGCTGTTTTAAACATTTGGCAGGGGGAAATTGTGAGCAACACCCTAAATAAAGTAGAGAAGATTTAATAGGGTTATTTGGTCTTGTAATTTTATTTTTAATGTGATTTTTTCTACCTCAGTTGTATATTCTGTGTAAATTCCATAAATCAAGTGTTTTACAAAGCCAAATTTTTATTAGTCATTATGTAGAATAATTTTCTAGGCACAATTCATCTTTTTACCGTAGTTTTACTGTTGCTCTCCTGGTTTCAGTTTGTTGATTTCTTACTTTCCCTTTCTGCCTGGTTTTGTATTACTTGCTTAAATACTGTGAATTATAAATTTAAAAATTGGTAAATTGTTATGCCCGTGAATCAGGAGGAAAGGTATAATCACAAAATTTTGACCAGTTCTGTATCACCTGACTGGGATGATATGCGTTGGGGAATAGTGTCCTCTATCAAGATACATTGGTACAGATGGTTGTGATATTTGCTGAATTGTCAAATATGTAACGTTACCCTAGATTTTTGTTGTTGTTTTTGCGGTACGCGGGCCTCTCACTGTTGTGGCCTCTCCCGTTGCGGAGCACAGGCTCCGGACTTGCAGACTCAGCGGCCATGGCTCACGGGCCTAGCCGCTCTGCGGCACGTGGGGTCTTCCCGGACCGGGGCACGAACCTGTGTCCCCTGCATCGTCAGGCGGACTCTCAACCACTGCGCCACCAGGGAAGCCTTTTTTTTTTTTTTTGGCTGTGCCTCATGGCTTGCAGGATCTTAGTTCCCCAACCAGGGATTGAACCCAGGCCCTTGGCAGTGAAAGCACAGAGTCCTAACCGTTGGACTGCCAGGGAATTCCCTAGTTTTTCTTTTCTTTTTTTTAATGTATTTTATTTATCTTTATTTTTGGCCGTGTTGGGTCTTCATTGCTGCGTGCAGGCTTTCTCTAGTTGTGATGGGTGGGGGCTACTCTTTGTTGCGGTGTGTGGGCTTCTTATTGCTGTGGCTTCTCTTGTTGCGGAGCATGGGCTCTAGATGTGCAGGCTTCAGTAGTTGTGGCTCGTAGGCTCAGTAGTTATGGCTCGCAGGCTCCAGAGCACAGGCTCAGTAGTTGTGGCACACGGGCTTAGTTGCTCCACGTCATGTGGGATCTTCCTGGACCAGAGCTCGAACCCGTGTCCCCTGTACTAGCAGGTGGATTCCCAACCACTGCGCCACCAGAGAAGTCCCTAGTTTTTCTTTTTGATCAGAAATCTTCTGGGTTTTTTGTTTTTTAAAAACGGTTCAAAATCCATTCCTCTAACTCTGATCCAGTGCCAGGATGTTAAGAGTTTGAAGGAAGGATTGTTCCTACATAGCATGAGATCTTCAACACTGCTAGCAACCAAAGAAAGGGAGGGGAAATTAAAGTTGTTGAGAGAAGACAGGAAACAAAGGTCAACAAGGATACAGGAAACCAAAGATGAAGATGTATGATTAGATTATAAGATGTAAACAGCGTAAGATGACAAGAACTCTTTGTATATTGGTGACTTTGGGTAGTAGATGCTGGGTACATGCTACTGAGTGAACAATGGCTTGACCATCTACCAGTCACTTAACTAGCAATCTCTTTAGTGCCTCCATCTCCCTCACCCCTAGACATCCTTTAAGTCACCAATTGCAGTTGACTTTATATCTGAATCATGTTATAAGTATCTCCTCCTTCCCATTTATACTACCACTGCTCTGCTTCAAGACCATATCATCTTTGCTTCCTAAATGACCTCTCTTTTTAAAAATTTAGACTCCACACAGCCATGAAGATTAGTGGTCTGAAACACAGATGTGATAATGTCACTCTCTAGTTTAAAAACTCACAGTGATTTCTCCTTGTAGTCAAAGGTCCAAACTCTTTAGCATGGTATTCAAGGCTTTTTACAGTTGGATCTCATCCTACTATTTCTAACCTGATGTACCACTTTCCCCTCCACATGCTAACTGTACTATTGTACTCAGAATTTCACTAATATCGCCTATAGATAAGTGCTCATGGCTCCATGTTTTTGTCTAAGCTGTTTCTTTCTCCCTCTCCTGGGTAGAAGTTCTATCCAGTCCCACTAGAATATACCTTTTTTTTCTAAAGCTTTCCTCTATTCCTCTTAACCCCCAGCTGAATGAATGGTTCCCTTTTCTGCTTCAATTGTGCTTTCTGTTATGACCCCTGTTAAACTCCTTTCACCTTGTATTGTGGGTTGTCTTTGACAATAGGTTGACTCCTTAAGGATGGCAGTTTGTCCTAAAATCTATCATTTATTTAGCAGAATGCCTGGCACATATAAAGGGCTTTGTGCAGTGTGCATCACCTCATTTAATCTTCGCAACAACCTTGTGATATTGGTGTTATTAGCACAACATCCCCGTTTTACAAATAAGTAAACTGAGTTGGAAAGGCCTCACAGCTGGTACAGAGCAAAACTTGAACCCCAACCTGGATCCACCTAACTCCTGAAGTCCATTCTCTTTTAACTGTTTTGCTGTATTTATCCCCTGCCTCAATCTGTGTATCCTCAGTGCCTGGTATCCAGTAGGTACTCTGTATGTGCTTGCTGACCGAATGAATAATAAAAACTCCAGTTTACACAGGAGGCTGATAGTGTGGTTTCCATTGAAAGGGAGAGTAAAAGATATCAGTGCATCATTCTTAAAAATAACATGTTATCTTCAAAACACAAACATACACAAAACAATATATTGTTCATTGGGTATCAGAAATGTTAAACTTGGGGGCGGGGGGTGGGGAGAAGCTCCATTTTCTAAATAATGCTAGCTTTCGTAATGCAGGACACCGCGCTGTACCGCACAGCTATAGAGTGTCTTAAATTGATTTCTAGGAAACTGCTGCCCCCTTACTTCTGTCTTTATTATGAGTGTTCTCACAAGTCAAATAATCTAATTGAACTTTTACTGGCATAATACATTGCAAAGCTAGCCATTATGCATGTAAAGTCTTTGAGGAGACAGTAAAATAAATACGGGATAATTGGGGTCAGCTTAGTTTGTTGTTAAAAAAAAGTATGTGTTTTTTAATCCATCATAAATTGAAAATGTACTATTAGTGCTTGTATAAATGAGTATAATACCAATTACATTTTTTCTTGGGTTCTCTTAAGTGTCAAATAGTAACTCAACATATCATTTAACACTTAAAAATCTTGAGAGTGAATGTTAGTAAGAAATAGGGAGTTTTAGTTCATCTTTTTTTGTCACCTGATTTTTCTTATAAACTTGGTAAAATCTAATGTAGATTCAACTTTTTAACTTCTCTTCTCTTTTATTTCTCTAGTGTTGTTAATAACAATACTTGTAGTGGAAGGGATTGCTGTGGCCCAAAAGACCCAAGGTAAAGACCTTACAGTGCTAATTTACTGCATGTTCAGGACAGTGGGATGGCTTATTTGGAAGGATTTCAACTTTTGAGTACTATTTCCATAATCTCTCTGGGGTGTTCCAGTGACCTGAGGCTTTCCATCAACCTGTCAGCCTCAGTTCGGCTAGGTTCAGCTGCAGTTAGCCAGAGTAAATTGTTAACATAAAGTCTTGCATTGATAAATTTAAAAAATTGGCATAACTAGTGACTCCTAGAACACTATGGATTATGTCCAAAAATCAAATGAGATTCATGCTTTATCACTAAGCAAAAATTAAAATCCCTTTTTCCAGTGTAGACAAATGAAACGTTTCCATCAATAGCTTATTCAAAGCCCTGGGGACCTGTTCTAATTGTCCTTGTTTATGAAAGAGGATTAGCTAGTGTGAGTTTTGAGCCAGATATTCATGTCAGAGTTTAGTACATTTCCTAAATAACCTGACTTATTTTTATCTTCATCAAAGTTATACATACACATGACAAAAGTCAAAGCATTCTATAAAGTTAATTAGGAAAAATCAGTCCCCCAGCCTATCACCCCATTTCTCCATGGAGATAGCCACTCATAGCTGATTCTTTTGGTATTTTCCTGCATACTTCTAAATAACATACCATACAGCTCTTCTTGGTTATTTCAGTTTCAGGTAGTAGAAAATAATTTTCCCACCATGCGGGATGAGAATTGATCTGTTTCATGTACCTCCTCTTCACCACCTACCACATACAAGTGTTCTTTTAACTTTGTGCCACAGCACCCGCATCAGTATTGTTATAATTCTGGTTACATCTCTTCAGGGTTTACGTCAATTCACCCGTTGGGCTTTTTCAATATGAAAATTTTGTCTTTGGATGTAGGAAATTTTTCTTTCCCTTTTTTCTTGTTTAATTTTTAAAATTCCCTTTTCTCCATTTTTCTCTCTTCTGTCTTCAAGGAACTCTTATTATTAAGTTACTTTTTTAAAAAATCTTTTCTGTTTTCCATTTCTCTTTTAACTGTTTTCTTCTCAGTAGTCTACACTGAGACTTCCTCAACTTTATCTGCTAAACCAAGAATTGGAAAACTTTTTTCTATAAAGGGCCAGATAGTAATCATTTAAGGTTTTGAAGACCTTTGTAGTCGAAGGAGCACCTATTCAGATCTGTAGTTGTAGGGTGAAAACAGCCATAGACAGTACAGTACGCACATGAATGGGCATGGATATAGTCCAGTGAACTTGATTTACAATAACAGGCAGCAGGCCAGATTTGGTCCAGGGCCATAGTTTATGGACCTCTGCTCCAAACGTGATATTTTTTTCATTTCTTCTATTTTTAAAAGCTTTCATTTGTTTTCTAAATATTCTGTTTTTTAGAGTATGCCTTGTTCTTGTCTTATCGATATACATTTGACCCTTGAACAATGCAGGGCTGAGTGGTGTTGATCCCCACATAGTCAAAACCTGCCTCTGTATTCGCAGTTCCGCATCCTCACATTCAGCTGACTGCAGACTAAGTAGTGAGCGCACCCACGCGTTCAATCCCATGTTGTTCAAGGGTCAACTGTACTCTCTTGTTCTCTGAGGAGATTAAATGATCGTTTTGTTTAGTGCTTTTTTTTAATATTCTATAATCTTTGTATCCTCAGAGTTGCTTTTTTGTTTGTTTTTAATCTGTTTTTCATATTAGAGGCTTTCGTCAAATGTCTGGTGCTCCTTGAATGCCTTTCATAGTTATGAGAGGAGCATGCAGATCTGCTCGTTAGCTGTCTGCAAGTGTAGACAGGGCTTCTTTACTGCCACCCTCCCTGGTGAGTGACCAAGTCCACATCCTTGAGTCTTTTTCTTTGGGCTTATTAGATTCCCCAGAAAAGATTAAGATTCCATTTCCTGCTTAGAGGCTCTACATCTGATCAAGAGGCCTTTGGGAAGTTGAGTGGGGGAAGAGACGGGAGGTGTGGTTCAGCATGTTAACATTCACCTCATCTCCCTGTTTTCAGGTTGGTATTTTTACCCTCAGCTGTGCCTGGTGTCCCCTGGTCCAGCAACCCTGTGTACCTTCTCCAAAGAAATAGTCTCATTTTCTGATATGGTGATAGAGCAGCAGCTACTTAGATTTGTGGAGTAGGGGAGGGTATTAGAAATCAAATTGATTCCAAAGAGACTTTTAACCAAGCCTCATGTTTTTAAAAAGCCCAACTTCACCACCTCCTCGCCCACTGCCAGAGATACCTAGTGCTGCCAGTTGTTATTATTGCATCCACCTCTTTGTACTTATGGGTTTACGCCCTTAAAAAAATTGTTTACTGTCGTTTAAGTGGACTTTGAAGAAGGAGCAGAGCCAAATGCATGTGTTCAATCTACAACCTTTAACTAAAATAAAATCCCTTGGTAATCTTTGAATCTTATTTGACTTCGTCCTAAACTAAATGTAGAGGTACCACACCAGAGATAAATTCCTGGGGTCCTTTTATTTTTATGTCAGAATTGAATTTTATAGAGTTTTACTGATTTATCAGATTCTCCCACATGGTTTTGCCCTTGTAAAAGCTACGCATTTTATTTCCCCGTTCTTATACATGGCAAACTTGTCCTCTAGAGCAAATGCTTCTAGCCAGCACAGCATACCATCTTCACCTTCATTTCACTTCTTTATTCAATTTGTTATGCTGAATTTGTCAGTGGTTCTTAAAAATTATATATATGTGTGTGTAACAGAGTGGGCAGTTGTTTGGGGAAGCTGTGGGGGGAACTATAAGTGATGTTTTACATGTTTCCCTAAGATGGACAAAATATTGGAATCAAGCACATTCCTGCAACCCAGTGTGGCATTTGGGTTCGAACCAGCAATGGAGGTCATTTTGCTTCACCAAATTATCCTGACTCATATCCACCAAACAAGGAATGTATCTACATTTTGGAAGGTATTTGACCAATTTCTGTCTTTCGTTGGATGAATTTTTACTTATTGTAAAACTAAATATATTGGTTAAGTGCCCTGGTTAAACCAGTTTGAACAAAATTTAAATATGTATTTTAATTAAACTGTAGTCATTATAAATATTTCTTAATACTGACTTTTTAAATAATGGTTGAAATTTTATAGGAATTTTGGATCTCCTAAAATATTATTTAACTAGATGATGCATCAGTATATATGAGAAACTTCTCTGATAAGAAACCTAAGCTTACTGGTATCTCTTATTAGCCTTTCTGCAAATTTATGTCCATAGTTACATTATATGTTTCTTTCATTTCTTCTGTTTTTCTATTCATCATGGTACATTGTATCTCATGAACTAAGCATTAGCTTCTCAACTCTAATTTTAATCAATTAAGTACATTCAATTTAATACATAACATATGCCAAAGGGAAAGATTACTATAGTTCTACGGAGTAGCATTATTATTATATTATTAATATACAATGTAACATTTATCATGAATTTTATATATAACAGTTCTCATTATGATCCTCATCTATGAAACAGTAACAGAGCAGTTGTTGTGCTTTTCTCACTTGTGTCAGGCCATCTTTACTTTTTCTTGTTTGCGTTGCCCTAATTTGCTTACTCTTATTTTCTAGCTGCTCCACGTCAAAGAATAGAGTTGACCTTTGATGAACATTATTATATAGAACCATCATTTGAATGTCGGTTTGATAACTTGGAAGTTCGAGATGGGCCGTTTGGTTTCTCTCCACTTGTAGATCGTTACTGTGGTGTGAAAAGCCCTCCATTAATTAGATCAACAGGGAGATTCATGTGGATTAAGTTCAGTTCTGATGAAGAACTTGAAGGACTAGGATTTCGAGCAAAATATTCGTTTATTCCAGGTAAAGAAGTTATTATTTCAGTGGCTAGGTCTCACTCTGGTTTTAGAATCTTAAGGCTAGAAAAGAGATAATTCAGTCAAGGTAATCAAATCAAGGCTTTAAAGAAGTTAGAAAGGTCAAAGGGAAATCAGTCCATGAATAAATAAAAACTTAACAAAAAATTAGAAATAAAACTATGTCACTTGAATTTTGAAGTATATCATAGATGGTGTCTCATTATTTCTTAGATTTCTGTATGTTTTATAGCATATATCAAATGCCAAAGATATCACAAATAAATACATTTAAAAAATAATTCAACAAATTGTCTTATTTTCATGATCTATACCAAAAATTATTTTGGCAGGTTTTTTCCATTGGAATGATTCAATTACTCATTTGAATAAACAGTCTCTAGAAAATACTGAGCAATAGAAAGAATAGCGCTCTGCACTTGGAGGCAAAAGATCTGGGTGTGAATCCTTTCTCTGCCACCTACTAGCTATGAAATTTACTATTAAGCACAGAGCTGTGCCTAAGAGTTGCTGTTGCTAAGATGGGAATATCTTCCTGAGGCCACCATAACTAATTCCCAGAAACTGGGCAGCTGAAGACAACAGTAGTTTATTTTCTCAGAATTCTGGAGGCCAGAATCCAGCAGGGTCATGTTCCCTGTGGGAACTCCAGGGGAGAATCCATTCCTAGCCTCTTGCAGCTTCTTGTGGCTGCCCCAGCATTCCTGGACGTGTGGCCTCATCACTCCAATGTCTGCCTCCATCTTCACATTCCCTGTCTTCTCAGAATCCTTAGCTTAATCACATCCTTTGCCTTAAAATGTAATATTCACTTTTTTTAATCTTATAAGGTAGTATTCATAGGTTATGATGATTAGGATGTGGACATATATTTGGGTGGTGGGAGAGCACGCCCACCTATCAGCATACTCTATCTTACCTACCACACGGTTATGTGGGAACACTTTATAGTCCTCAAAGCCTGTCTACAGTAAAGATATGCATATCCCTAATGTGGCAGCACAAAGATACACTAGTTATTGCTCCTGTCTTCCAAGAGTTTACAAACTTAATAAGATGAAAAAGTAACTTAATGTAACAATTATATAATTATAAAATTATATAATCTTTTTGCTTTTATTTATGTAAAGATTATATAATTATAGTTATATAATCTTTTTGCTTTTATTTATGTTTTCGTGCAAGAAATTTGCTAACTTAAAAAAATTAAATCATATCCAAATGAAAATATCCATAACCTTATCACCCTATAAATAAAAAACCGGTATTAACAATATGGTGTGTATCCCTTCAGATGTTTTTCTATATCTGTTTATTTTGTTTATTTTATATAACAGAGATCATGCTATTCTTTCAGCTAGATTACCAGCTTTTTTGCCTGAACAATGTAGTCACCTTTTTTTTCCCTGTTAGTAAATGTGTTAATGGTATTTTTAAGTGTTAAAGTATTTATGTTCTCAATGTCAAAACGATAACATTTTCAAAAAGTAAAATATATTCTTTTTTTTTTTTTAGAACAGTTTTTAGGCTCACAGCAAAACTGAGCAGAAATTGCAGAGTTACCATATACCTCCTAACCACCCCCCCACACACACAGCTACCTCCAAAACCTAAAATGAACATTCTGCACTAGGGGTACATTTGTTACAACTGATGAACCTGCATTGACACATCATCACCGAAGTCCATATTTTACATTAGGGTTCACTCTCTTTTTGGGGTTTTTTTTTTTTTTCAGCCATCCGTATACATATATCCTCTCCTTTTTGGATTTCCTTCCCATTTGGGTCACCACAGAGCATTGAGTAGAGTTCCCTGTACTATACAGCAGGCTCTCATTAGTTATCTATTTTACACATAGTATCAATAATGTATATATGTCAATCCCCATCTCCCAATTCATCCCACCACCCTCCCCCCTTGGTATCCATACCTCTGTTCTCTAGGGTTCACTCTTAGTGTCGTACATTCTATGGGTTTGGACAAATGTATAGTGACATATGTCTGCCATTACAGTATTATACAGAGTATTCCCACTGCTCTAAAAATCCTGTGGTCTCCACCTATTCATCCCTCCCATCCCAACCCCGACAACCACTGATCTTTTTACTGTCTCCATAGTTTTGCCCTTTCCGGAACGTCATAGGGTTGGAATCATACAGTATGTAGGCTTTTCAGATTGGCTTCTTTCACTTAATAATATTTACTTAACGTTCCTCCATGTTTTTTCATGGCTTGGTAGCTTGTTTCTTTTTAGTGCAGAATAATATTTCGTTGTATGGAGGTACTACAGTTTGTTTATCCATTCTGTTGAAGGATATCTTGGCTGCTTCCAGGTTTTAGCAACCACAGATAAACCTGCTGTAGACATCCATATGCAGGTATTTGTGTGGACAAGTTTTTAACTCATTTGGCTAAGTACCATGGAGTGCAATTGCTGGATCATATTAAAATTTGTCTTTAGTTTTTATTTAAATGGATTGTGCTGGTGGTGGCAGAACATTGTGAATGTACTTAATGCCACTGAATTGTACACTTAAAAATGAGTAAAAGGATAAATATTATGTTATATGTTTTACTACAATAAAAATAAATTTTAAAAATTACAAACAGGAGTCTAAAAAAGCTTAATTTGAAAATTCAGATAGAAGACATATATATCAACCCACCAGAATGAAAAAATTGCTAGTCTAAAAGATCTCAGAATTTTTAATTAGCCTGTTTAAACCTATTTTAATTCACAGTTTATTGTATGTAACTGGTTGCTCAATTCTTGTTAAAATTGTTTTCTTTGTTGTTTTGGCCACGCCATGTGGCATGCGGGATCTTCCTAACCAGGGATCGAACCTGTGTCCCCTGCAGTGGAAGCGCAGAATCTTAACCACTGACTTTCTGCATGGTTATCAAAGTACATGTTGAAAAAAAGTAAGAGTAAAATTTTTAGCTTAATCTAGCATACATCACAGAGACTGTTCTTTTTTAACTTAATAATCTAAACCCAGCCTCCCTAAATAAAAGGGAGTGACGACACTTCAGCAATTTTGCAGAGAAATGTCAAAGAGAAATCTAAATTTAAACATCATTAGAGTAGAAAGTCATAGCAACTGTCTGGCAGGTGAATCAGAATTTCTTCACAGGTAGGAAAGAATTCTAGGACATTGTCATTATTGCACTAAAATTTCCAGAATTATCCCAGTTACTTCCAGGACGTAGCAATCCATTAAGAGCCTCTCCCTCAACAAATATCACCAGTAGCTCAGATAATTTCATTTATTTAGAAGATACTAATTTCTCATCATCGTTAGTAAGTTTCATCCATATTTACAAATACCTAGACAAAATTTACTTTATATGACTTTAAATAACTAGACAGCCATGATTTAGCTATTTACGAATTGTCTATTTATTTTGACTTTTTTTTTCTTTTAGTGGTAAAATTGTGGTATCATCACCCACACTATAAAGGCAAGAAAGAGTAAGAAAGGAAAATGTTACAGTAAGAAAAACTGTCTAGAGAATTAGAATCTAGTCCTGACGTTGCCATTATATGGTCTAAAAAAGTCATAATCTCTCTGATTCAGTTTCCTCATCTATAAAACAGAATAGTACATGATCTTCTTGATGTTATTGTCATTAGCATAATATTAAACATAAGGTCTGTAGAAACTCTGAAGTACTATAAAATGCAAATATAAGGTAATATAGTATAGAAATCCTTAGCATTTTATTATAATTTATATTTTAACCATAAGCCATATGAAGTTGCTCTCATGATACATAAAACTAATAGAAGAAAAAGAACTGCATTTCTTCAAACAATCTTTACATATAAAGTTGCCTGGCTTTGTTTTTTAATATTTTTAAAAGCATTAAAGCATTATTCAAATGATTAAGATGTTTGTTTTTTCTTTCAGGCAGTCTAAACTTATTTGCAAAAATCTGACTCTATATAGGACTTTGTAATGTCTTTTGATACTAAAGTGTCAATCAATTCAGTTAATTGATTTAGTTCATAAAAATCAAATACCTGGCCAGCTTCATTAAATCAGTTATTTTGATATAAACTATTGGTTGTCAGTTTTCTATGAACTATTTCATAGGGCAGACTATCCTATATATCATCTAGTCATCTCTCTTTTTCCTGCCATTGTGAAAAAAACAACTTACTAGCTGCTACTGTGGTGGGATAAATTATATGTAACATAAAATTCACTATCTTAAACCTTTTAAGTGTACAAGTCAGTGGCATTAAGTACACTTACAATGTTGTGCAACCATCACACCGTGCATTTCCAGAACTTTTTTTGTCATCCCAAGCTGAAACTCTGTCCCCATTAAACACTTAACTCCCTATCCCTCCCTCCCTACAGCCCTGTGAAAACAGTCTCTGAATTCGACTAATCTAGGGACCTCAGTTAAGGGAATCATATAGTGTCCTTAACTGTCTGGCTTATTTTACTTAGCATAATGTTTCCACACACATCCATGTTGTAGCGTGTGTCAGAATTTCATTCCTTTTTAAGGTTGGATAATATTCCATTGTATTATTTATACTACATTTTGTTTACTCATTCATCCATCAATGGACTAGCTACTGCAGTTGACATAGAGTTGTGAGTTTTCAGGTAGCATAAATAAGTTTTTAGTTCATAATTGGATCAAAAGTATAAAGGTTATCATTTTTACAATATCGATCCTATAAATGAGCACCTCAATATGCTCATAAATAGCCAGTGGTCTGTAGTTTACACAAATGAAAGCTTTCTCTTGCTTTGTTAAGTATAGCATTAGACATAACGTAAGATATTAAGCCTTAAAGTAACTCTAAACTACCTCAATGCCAATGACTTTCTTCTTTTCTCTGTTACAGATCCAGACTTTACTTACCTAGGAGGTATTTTAAATCCCATCCCAGGTTTAGTATATTACCTCTTTTTCCTCATGGCATCTTTGATCAGTCTTATTTTCCTTTGAACATCATTCATCTGTTCTTTCTAGATTGCCAGTTTGAGCTGTCAGGAGCTGACGGAATAATACGTTCTAGTCAGGTAGAACAAGAGGAAAAAACAAAACCTGGCCAAGCAGTTGATTGCATCTGGACGATTAAAGCTACTCCAAAAGCTAAGGTAGTATTAAGTATGCAGTCACTTCTAAGAAGAACATAATAAGATGTGATTTGTATAATGTATTATTTTGGTTCATGCAGATACTTATTATTTACACTGACGTTACAACTTCTTAAAAATTTTATTTCAGTCACATTATTGAACACCTAGCATCTCAGCATTGTTGTAGTTAAATAAACTACAACATAAACTTCAGGAATGTCACGCATACATTAATATTCTTATTTTAAGATTCTTAAAATCTGTGTGTTCCTATTTGGAGAGTATAGGTATTGATCAGTGTGATCATAGATTCATAAACACCTGTATGAGGAGGTAAAATAGGCCATAGACATTAAAGTTAAGTATCATCTTAGTTCTGTTCTTACCATGCTGTCCTCTGCTAATCATATAGAGTTTTTATTGGAAAGTACCACAGGGAAGGATGTTTTTAAATAACTCTGACAGGTTGAGACTGGTTGCTGACTACTTCTGCTTTTTGCTTTTAGTTTGTACTTCTAGGAATAGTAACAGTTAAAATTATATTTATTGTTTATATATGTAAACAGAAAAGAAAGAGGGTAGGAGAATTTAAAGAATTAAGAAAATCAAATTTAAAGTTTCTGGTAATATGATGGATGAGATAACCTGAAAACCTACCTATTACAAAACACTTAGAAACATTGGATAAAATATAACAGATATCCTTTTAAAACCATAGATAAGCTCCAAAAAAGAAGATAATTCTTATGAACTAGAATGAAAGAGCTATAAATCAGAGCAGTAAACTGAAATCGATGGTACAAATGCCCCTTGCTGATTTCAGTAACCTATGACTACTCAAGGGTAGATATTGCAGGAGCTTGGCATCACCCACACTGAGACAAATAAAAGGCCTAGGGTTTGTGTGGCCTTTGAGAGGACTGCCACATGAAGCTGGAACCCTCAAAGGGAGATTATTGCCATGAAATGGTAGATTAGAAAAACTCTTCCACTAGCGCAAATTGGTAAAAAAGAAGCTTATCCTGGGCTCAGTCTTAAGATGCGGGTGAGGCTGAGGTCTCCCCTAACCGTTTATACCTATATCTTTATTACAGCTTGGGATGTGAATTTACATTCCATGCTCAGCCCAGGAACCACTTAGCCCCAAAATGAACAAAATGGTCCTGGGCTTATTAAACCTTTTGAGGCACCTGAAAAGATAAATACAAAATAACCATGTAGGCTACAGGATTGCTATAGCTAAAACACTGCTGAAGTAAGCTTACAACCTAAAATTAGAAAACATAGGTGAACAACCCACCATGAGTGAGTTAACAGGCATAACAGCAGAAGTTTCTTAGATGCCCAAGAACTGAAGTCTTAAATATCCTACATTAGTAATCAAAAGAATGAGAAAGGGGCTTCCCTGGTGGCGCAGTGGTTGAGAGTCCGCCTGCTGATGCAGGGGACACGGGTTCGTGCCCCGGTCTGGGAGGATCCCACATGCCGCGGAGCGGCTGGGCCCGTGAGCCATGGCCGCTGAGCCTGCGCGTCCGGAGCCTGTGCTCCGCAACGGGAGAGGCAAAAACAGTGAGAGGCCCAAAAAAAAAAAAAAAAAAAAAAAAAAAAGAATGAGAAAGAAAAGTATCAAGTATGCTTTAAAAATAACCAAATGGAACTTACTCAAGTAAAAATTATAGTATTGAAAGACAGATTTGAGAAAATTACCCAGAAAGTAGTTTGAGGATGGGAGACAGTGGCAATTTATTAAGAAACTTGGAAGAAATGACAATAGAATTATGTTTTCAAAGTGCTAAGGAAAAAAAATTAACTGGCAATCTAAAATTTGAAAATTCCATGTCCAACTAATCTGTCTTTCAAGAATGAGGGCAAGGGTTCAAAATGGCGGAGTAAAAGGACGTGTTGTCACTCCCTCTTTTGAGAGCACCAGAATCACAACTAACTGCTGAACAGTCATCAACAGGAAGACACTGGAACTCACCAAAAAAGATACCCCACATCCAAAGACAAAGGAGAAGCTGCACTGAGATGGTCGGAGGGGCGCAATCACAATAAAATCAAACCCCATAACTGCTGGGTGGGTGACTCAGAAACTGGAGAACACTTACACCTCAGAAGTCCACCCACTGGAGTGAAGGTTCTGAGCCCCATGTCAGGCTTCCTAACCTGGGAGTCTGGCAATGGGAGGAGGAATTCCTAGAGAATCAGACTTTGAAGGCTAGCACGATTTGATTGCAGGACTTCAGCAGGACTGGGGGAAACAGAGACGCCACTCTTGGAGGGCACACACAAAGTAGTGTACACGTAGGGACCCAGGGGAAGGAGCAGTGACCCCATAAGAGACTGAACCACACCTACCTGCTAGTGTTGGAGGGTCTCCTGCAGAGACGGGGGGTAGCAGTGTCTCACAGTGACACAAGGACACTGGCAGCAGAAGTTCTGGGAAGTGTTCCATGGCGTAAGCCCTCCCAGAGTCCACCATTAGCCCCACCAAGGAGCCTGGGTAGGCTCCAGTGTTGGGTCGCCTCAGGCAAAACAACCAACAGGGAAGGAGCCCAGACCGAACCATCAGCAGACAAGTGGATTAAAGTTTTACTGAGCTCTGCCCACCAGAGCAACAGAGAGCTCTACCCACCACCAGTCCCTCCCAGCAGGAAACTTTCACAAGCCTCTTAGATAGCCTCATTCACCAGAGGGCAGATACCAGAAGCAAGAAGAACTACAATCCTGCAGCCTGTGGAACAAAAACCACATTCACAGAAAGATAGACAAGACGAAAAGGCAGAGGGCTATGTACCAGATGAAGGAACAAAATAAAACCCCAGAAAAACAACTAAATGAAGTGGAGATAGGCAACCTCCCAGAAAAAGAATTCAGAATAATGGTAGTGAAGATGATCCAGGACCTCAGAAAAAGAATGGAGGCAGAGATCGAGAAGATGCAATAAATGTTTAACAAAGACCTAGAAGAATTAAAGAAAAAACACCTAGAAGAGTTAAAGAACAAACCAACAGAGATGAACAGTACAATAACTGAAATGAAAAATACACTAGAAGGAATCAATACCAGAATAACTGAGGCAGAAGAACAGATAAGTGACCTGGAAGACAGAATGGTGGACTTCACTGCTGCAGGAGAAAATAAAGAAAAAAGAATGAAAAAAATGAAGACAGCCTAAGAGACCTCTGGGACAACATTAAATGCAACAACATTCACATCATAGGGATCCAAGAAGGAGAAGAGAGAGAGAAAAGACCCGATAAAGTATTTGAAGAGATTATAGTTGAAAACTTCCCTAACATGAGAAGGGAAATAGCCATCCAAGTCCACGAAATGCAGAGAGTCCCAGGCAGGATAAACCCAAGGAGAAACGCCGAGACACATAGTAATCAAATTGGCAAAAATTAAAGACAAAGAAAAATTATTGAAAGCAAGGGAAAAACGACAAATAACATACAAGAGAACTCCCATAAGGTTAACAGCTGATTTCTCAGCAGAAACTCTACAAGCCAGAAGGGAGTAGCATGACATATTTAAAGCAATGAAAGGGAAGAACCTACAACCAAAATTACCCAGCAAGGATCTCATTCAGATTCGATGGAGAAATCAGAAGCTTTACAGACAAGCAAAAGCTAAGAGAATTCAGCACCACCAAACCAGCTAAAGGAACATTTAAACAAATGCTAAAGGAACTTCTCTACATGGGAAACACAAGAGAAGAAAAGGACCTACAAAAACAAACCCATAACAAGAAAATGGTAATAGGAACATACATATCGATAATTACCTTAAACGTGAATGGATTAAATGATCCAACGAAAAGACACAGGCTCGCTGAATGGATAAAAAAAAAAGACCCATATATATGCTGTCTACAAGACACCCACTTCAGACCAAGGGACACATACAGACTGAAAGTGAGTGGATGGAAAAAGATACTCCATGGAAATGGAAATCAAAAGAAAGCTGGAGTAGCAGTACTCATATCAGATAAAATAGACCTAAAAATAAAGAATGTCACAAGAGACAAGGAAGGACACTACATAATGATGAAGGGATCAATCCAAGAAGAAGATATAAAAATTATAAATATATATGCACCCAACATAGGAGCACCACAATGCATAAGGCAGATGCTAACAACTATAAAACAGGAAATTGACAGTAACACAATAATACTAAAGGACTTTAACACCTCACTTACACCAATGGACAGATCATCGAAACAGAAAATTAATAAGGAAATCCAAGCTTTAAATGACACAATAGACCAGATAGATTTACTTGATATTTATAGGACTTTCCGTCCAAAAACAGCAGATTACACTTTCTTCTCAAGTTCAGATGGAACATTCTCCAGGAAAGATCACATCTTGCATCACAAATCAAGCCTCAGTAAATGTAAGAAAGTTGAAATCATATCAGTCATCTTTTCTGACCACAACACTGAGATTAGAAATCAGTTACAGGGGAAAAAAACTTTAAAAACACAAACACGTGGAGGCTAAACAATACGTTACTACATAACCAAGAGATCGCTGAAGAAATCAAAGAGGAAATCAAAAAATACCTAGAGACAAATGACAATGAAAACATGACGATCCAAAGCCTATGGGATGCAACACAAGCAGTTCTAAGAGGGAGGTTTATAGCAATACAAGCCTATCTCAAGAAACGAGAAAAATCTCAAATCTAACCTTACACCTAAAGGAACCAGAGAAAGAAGAAGAAACAAAACCCAAAGTTAGTAGAAGGAAAGAAATCATAAAGATCAGAGCAGAAATAAATGAAATAGAAAAAAGGAAAACAATAAAACTAAAAGGTCAATAAAACTAAAAGCTGGTTCTTTGAGAAGATAAACAAAATTGATAAAACATTAGCCAGACTCATCAAGAAAAAGAGGGAGAGGACTCAAATCAATAAAACTAGAAATGAAAAAGGAGAAGTTACAACAGACACCATCAAAATACAAAGCATCCTAAGAGACTACTACAAGCAACGCTATGCCAATAAAATGG